TCAGTGCAATTTTTGCCACCCACCAACGATTTAAGTTAACACCAGCGAGTGGTGTGGAGGATAGTTCTACTGCTTGGTGAAACTTGCTCTGCAGCTACAGAAAGCTTGCTGATTATTTCCCATGAAGATCAATGTTTTCGCAAGATCCTGCTAGAAAATTTGCCCAGTTCCAACTAGGAAATATTAATCGTTCAACTGCTGCTCCATTTCAGGTGATTTATCGGAAACTTTTAGCCTCGGTTGAAAGTGGCACTGGTGACTATAAATTTATTGAAACTGTCCACGCTAACCGATGTGATGATTTGGAAATCGGGTTTAAAGCCATCGGACTATTAGCGTTGTGCTTTTATCATTTAAGCCCTGCGTGCTCCCGTGGGAGCTCTAAAACGAAATATTAGAGCTCGGGAAATAAAATCCGAGTGAAATCGTCTGTGGCCATAATTGTTCGGTACCGGCCAGGGAGCAGGAAGACTTTCCTGCACTAGGAGGAATCACTAAAGCAGCTTTCTTAATATGGAAGTAAAAAGTCTCAGAACTTTTAAACGAGTCAACAAATCTCCTCGAGTTTTTTTTCACTGCATATAGAGACCACGACTAAAAGTTGCGAAAGGAATTTATATTCATTGGCGGAGAGTTGGATTTTTCAGAATTTTTTAAAATTGAAAAGGCAAAGTCTCTAGAGCTCTCTAAAAAGTACTCAACTCCCCCACTAATGGAGGAATTAACTTGAAATCTCTTCCAAACGTTTAGGAATCATGGCAAAAACTTAGCAAAAAAATATATGGGCATGCAAGACTGTACTGCTTTTTCACACAGTTTTAAACTTAACGCCTTTAAAACTTCAAAAACTTTCCTTTAATGCTCATCTTTTGGCAAATTTTTGGACAACTAGGCTGGTCAAAAAATTGCGGCGTTCCAAAGCAGCTCAAACATCTGGTTTGCTTATTCTCATCAACGTGATTTTCTATAATTACTGCCCGCTTAACACGACTACAAAGAGCTCAATCTGCAATCTAGATGAGTTCACGAGTATACGGTTAGTTGCATAGCAAAAGAAGCAATTTCCTTGCTCAAATTGAGCGTGGTGCAACTCAGTTGGGACCAATCAAATGAATATTGAGCAAGTAGACTATTAGTTGAGCTTAAGTTGTTATTGCAGAGCAAGAGTAGTTCGATATACAATTTGAGCACAGGAACTCAAAGGAAAAATCTAATAACTTAGTTTGTCTTTAACCATGCTTTGTTTAGCTGCGTTTTAGGTGGATAAAGGTCCACAATTCAACCACTTGCAGTGATAAAATAGAGGCCGAATGGTTTACTGGTTTCTTTCTGTTACATGCTCTAACTCTGCGCCAGAATTAATACGCTCTAAGGCAACGTCTTCTCCTAGATCAAATTAATGCACGACATTATCAAGATTTATTTCAATGTAATATGCACTTGAACGAAATTTATGGTACGCGGATGCGATGTAATTTCATCGCCGTATTCATATATCGGAAGAGACCAAGAAGTGCCATGCACAATAGCACTTAATCAATGATGGATTACTTTGTTGCAGATTTTAGCTGGCACATTAAGCACAAATTTCAAATTGAGTGCCAATTACTTGCATAATTAGACAATGTAATATGAAAGCTCTTGCGCCAGAGGAAACACATCTACTGCGTGAAAACAGTTGCTGTAAATTGAGCTGCGAGATTTTCACCAATTTTCAAAATTGCTCCTCTTGCCATTGTTGGTTATTGTTAATTAAAAACGTACCTGGACGAGTGAGTCGCAAGGAGTGAAAATCTCAGAATCACCTGAAAAATTTATAGAAGTTTCATGAGAACCGTCAGTTCAAGCTCTTGGAGAACACAAACTGGTCAAAAAGTTGCTGTTTGATTAACTTCAAGTAGCAAAAACATTTTAAAAGGGAGATGTTAAGTTTTGAGGAGCGCACTTCGACAACTAACCCACTATCGACTGTATGATTTGCAATGTTTTTTTTTTATTAGTTTTGTTTAGTTTGGATTAATTTGTTAATTACAAGCAAATTGATTCTATTGAATAAATGTTTATTTAAATTGGGGAATTTTAAGCGAAAAAAAATTGTAGGAACTAAAAACCTTGACAGATCATCGAGGAAATGAATAAATACTTAAACCGTTCACTTGTAATAATAATTTTGCCCTTTTCATACGATTGATGTGGATCCAAATATTAATCGAATCGTCATTATTACGCGCGACTTTGATCAGTTTAATTAATACTACAAGGGTGGTTTTAATCGAGCGATTAGCGAAACAACAAATTACCGAAATTGAACTATAAATCGAAGCAGAAATTAATAAATGTAGTTTGAAAACAGGGCAATATTGTACGGGCTTTGATTATATACAGTTTTTGCTTTTAATTTATTCGGGATTGATTTTAATTATTCCGCCAGTTTGATGTAATCGAAATCGAGCCTGTATGGGCAAATAATTATTAATTAATCGCTAATAAGGCCAAGTATTGCATTTGCGCACACATATATGTAGACGGTTTTCAGTAATCCACGATGTTGAGGGTGATTTGGCAATTAAAAAAAAGAAGCCAAAACTAAGAACTTTTCGACAAAATTGCCAATATTTCCTAGTCCCCACACAGCCTAAAAGTGCCATATGGTTTAATCTGCAGTGATGAAAAATCGTTTTTATTATTATTTTGTAAGCAACCTGGGAAAACGGAGCAATGTAATTTAGCTTTATTTATCAATTAAAATACGTTTATATATAAAATACAGCCTGCAGAAAAATGTCGAGTCAGAAAGTTCTTCTGAAAAAGTATCTGAAATCGCCCCAAATTTCTGATTAGTTGTTTGAGCAAGCTAAGAAATGCACTTTCTTCTTCAAAAATCCGCAACTTCAAATATATTGCTAGTGGCAACTTGAGAATTTTACCGTCGATGGAAGACAGTTGAATCTGTATGCTCTAAGAAATTCATTAAAATCTACCGAACTCCTGATTTTTGAGGACTGGGAAAATCGTGCCCTAAGAGTGAGCGTCTTTGCGCAAATGCGTGCCCTCTTTGAAAAATATGGATCTTAAAATGTGATTCAAGTACCAACTTGAAAGTTTCACAGTCGACAGAAGAACAGAGAAAACGTTCGAAGAAGCTTTAGAAAATTGGCACAATTCCTGATTTTTGCGGTTTTGCAAATGTTTGACCTAAAAAATGGCGTTTTTGCAAAAATGCACTTTCTCCTTGAAAAATCCGCAACTTCAAATCTTTTGCAAGTAGTAACGTGAGCGTCTACAGTCGATGGGGGACAGTTGAATCTAAATGCTCTGGAAAGTTCGCGAAAATCAACCGAACACCTGATTTTTAGGGACTTGGAAAAATGGGTTCTAAAAGTGAGCGTTTTTGTGCAAATGCGTGTGCTCTTTGAAAAATTCATATCTTAAAATCGGATTCGCGTCCTAACTTCAAAGTTT